TATCTATCTATCTATCTATCTATCTATCTATCTATCTATCTATCTACAGTATCTATCTAAACATTTTTATCATATACATTAGGCAGTACGGTGGTGCAGTTGGCAGAGCTGCTGCCTCTCAGCAAGCAGGTTACCCTGGTTCAAATCCCGGTCCAGGGGCCTTTCTGGGTGGAGTTTCTATGTTCTCTCTGTGCATGCGTGGGTTTTCTCCAGGTACTCCAGTTTCCTCCCACAAACCAAAAACATGCATGTTAGTTTGACTGGTAACTCTAAATTGTCTCTAGGTGTGAGTGAGACAGTGAATAGTTGTTTGTCTCTATATGTCCCTGTGATGGACTGGAGACCTGTCCAGCATGTCCACCTCTCGCACAGTGATGGCTGGATATGGGCAACAGTGACCACCGCAGCTCAAAAACGGAAAATGCGGGTAAAGATAATGGATGGATGGATGTGGAAACATCTTTAATTTAACTATAAAATTGTAAAATTAAATATAAAAATGGTATCTATATTATGGGATTGGTAACTCTAAAAATTGTCCCTAGGTGTGAGAGAGAGAGTGAATGGTTGTTTGTCTTGTTTGTCTCTATGTGTCCCTGTGATGCACTTGCGACCCGTCCAGGGTGTACCCCGCCCCTTGCACAGTGATTGCTGGACATGGGCACCAGTGACCCCCGTGACCCAAAATGGAACAAGCGGGTAAAGATAATGGATGGATGGATGGTCCTGCTGCAGGATTATTGTATATTTCTTACACTGTGTTTTGTGGCGTCAAAAACATTTGTCCTTCCTTTGCAGGCTGAGAATGATTTCATTTGTGCTTTTCTTTTCTTTTTTTATTTCATCAAACATGTTATGCCAAAAGTAAAATCCAGCCATATTATCCAAAGACACAGATTTGTTCAATCTCTCCCCAGAACGTAGTGAACCATGCAACGCCTTTGCCCAAATAAGATAACAACCGTGGATAATGTCACATTGGGATTCTGTTGACAAGAGAACGTGTCTGCAAGGGTAAACTACTCCAAAACAAGACAAACACAACTACAGATTTTAACCCACCCAAGGGAAGAGTAAATAAAAATAAAAACAAAAAAACATCATAAAGAGAAAAAGTGCTGTTTACATATGCACTCGGAAGACATTTCATGACGGTTGTTACATGCATTTTTTTTTTTTTTTACATATATCTGCAATCGAACTTCAATCTTTTGCAAGAAATGGATTTAGTGCTCGGGTGAGAAATCTAAAAAAAACACGTCGGCTCCCAGGAAACCTTTCACCTGCAGCTTTTTATCTTAAATCCTTGTGCAAATATTATTGCAATCTCTGAGCGGACCGGGGGAATTTGAGGTCTCTCTGTGTCAGCTCTGACAGATTCTTTCCCTCTGTCTCACATTACAAACCATTTACTGTCTACTTACCCTGTATTTAAAGCAATTTTCGCTTGTGATGGAAAGTGTGTGGTGTGCATTAAAGTCAAGTCTGAGTCCCACCTACTCTCAATGAAAAGCCAAACTTTCACCCTCCATATTTATGTCTAATGGCATACAGAAAAGAAAACCCATTTCAGTGCATAGAGTTAGAATTGCACTTGATTGTGTCCATTGTCTTTTTTTTGTATGTAAAAAGCAAATCACTATAACTGAGAAATGTAAAACCTTAGCCACTTTTATGAGAGGTCAATATGTTTGCCTTATAAATAAAATTAGATTTAATGAGGCTGAGACAAATGCTGTATATCTGTGATTTTGCTTTACTCTTTTTGCATTTGGCAACAAAAAGTGCTTAGGTATTTTAATCATTTATATTGGTGAAAAATAAAATATAGAATCCCTGAATTGATTGGAAAGCGACTTAATTCTCATATAGCTATAGTGTTTGATAAACCTTTATATTTCTTTGAGCTCTGATGTTCCTCTTAATGTTGTTTCCTGTAGCATCTATAGTAATTGGGAAGTGGTGGTGTGAGATGGAGCCTTGTCTGGAGGGGGAGGAGTGCAAAACGCTTCCTGACAACTCAGGCTGGATGTGCTACGCCGGGAACAAGATCAAAACGACAAGGGTAAGATAACCTCTACGAACTGTGGGAAGAGACACAGCAAACACGATCTATATCCGTAAAAATACCAGTTTGGGACTGACTCTACTGCTGTACTGTTGTACTGTTGTACTCTACTGCTGTACTGTTGTACTCTGTACTGTTGTACTGTTGTACTCTGTACTGTTGTACTGGATTTAGTCAGTCCAAAACGTGCAATTAAATCTCAGATTTCAACATCGATTCTGTCATCGGGGACATGACAAATACTAAAAGTTTAAAACCAAAGCAACGGGACTTATTTTCTGTAGATGAAAACATTTTGCTCTTCATCTGAGGAATTTTCTCAAATCAGAAATGAGATGTGGGAAACTTCAACCTTGTGATACGTGTGCAGCAACAATAAAATGAGCGTCATCTTTCTCAGTGCACACATGCAAAGTTATTAGAGGAGCAAAGTGTGGCCTGGAAAAATTGATTACCTCACATGACAGTTACTTTTATTTATCGTAAGAGACGAAACAAAATAAACATAATATTTAAATGAACGAGTACAATAACTTGCACTTTTCTTTGTTCTTCCATCTCTCAGTTAACAGCAAAGAAACATGTGCAAAAGCAACAGTTCTCTTCACAACTGATTTGTGGCAAATAAACCATATTATTAAATCTGCACGAGAAAATCTCTCCATCTATGAAAATAAAATAAAACAATTAAATAAAATGCAGCTATAAAAGTACCAGAGGAAATATTTTAAAAGCTTGCTTGTTTGTCATCAATTTCTAGAGCAACACTAAGTCAAGTTTAACCTGTACACTCAACTTTTCTTTCAACTGCTATGACTTGTTTTTTGTATCTTGATATGTTCACGAACAACATTCCCAATATCAGCAATTGCAGAATATAAAACCTCTTCCTTACAGTAAAGCTTATGTTTTTGTAGAAAGAAGCCATATTTTGAGCTTCTTGCTGACAACCAGTGATAAAAAGTTTCCCTCAAACGTGTAGTTCTTTTTAAAATGGGATTCTGTGGAAAAGTTAAGAATGATGAATAGTTTACTAATTTAATGCTTTTTTTTTTTTTAACAATCTCAGTTTGAAGAAACAGTTTAATTGTGACTGAACTGACAAGCTATCAGTTAGTCTGAGAGGTGCCAAGACCAAAGTGGTCTTCTGACATCTGAAAACAACTCTACTTTATAAAATACACCTCCAGCAGTTTTTTATTACACAGATATTTACAGTCAGTTTCCTTACACTAAAGATCTTGTAGGCAGAGTCAGAGATACTTTATTGTCATTCGCGCCTCATGTGGTACATGTGGTGGAGCAAAATTATGTACACAGGGTCCCAGTCACATCCAACAATAAAATGTAAAAGTAAAACAATGATAACATCTAAGATATGATCTAAGAAAGTAGTTCTACATTACCAAGAATTGTCCATGTAATACCAGTGCATATGATGCCAAATGAAAGGAGGTAAGTATGAACAAAAAGAACTCTAGAATAAAACGGTCTGTGTAAAAAAATACAATATTGTTTTGTTTTTTACTCAAAATGACCTGTTTCATGTAGCTTCTCTGTCCGTTCACACTTGACATGTTTTGTTTTGCAACACTTTCCACATGGAGTAGAAATATATCAGATGATGTAAAGTTGAACTTTTATGGTAAATGAACTGTACTCACATTGCACCTTTCTATAATCAAGACACTCAAAGTGCTTTACAACACAATCTGTGCCCTCATTTAACTCCACACACACGTTCATACAGCACTCCACTAGATCTCTGATAACCTGAACCTGTAGAGACTAATCAGAGCTTTGGATCGCATTCATAAACCGATGGGACACACAGCCGCTCCACACATCGGAGGCAATGAGGGGTTCAGTGTCCTGCACAGACTTTCTTCAGCATGTGACTGCTGGTGGAATCGAACCCCCAACTCTCCCATTGGAGGACGACTGCTCTAACCACTCAGCCACAGCTACCCCTCTAAATGTATTATGTAAAACAAATTTGACAGAGGTGTAGTTTCTAAAATACTGTTTGAATAAAACATGCTGGAGGTTTTGAGGCTAGAGTAGTTTCAACATGGCAAACAATCCACTTTGGTTCTCGACTTAATCTGCTGAGCCGTTTGCTGGACTTTCTGTTAAGAAAGAATCCCTGTCCCTCCAAACTGACTATCCATAACCACTCCACAGATATCCACTTAAAAAAACATGTTACTTTTTCCTTTTAAACCTAAAATCTTCCCATAACTGAAACCCAAAGAATGTGACTATCAAGCTGCAGTGTGTTGTAGTTTAAAGAGACTTTTTTGCTACAAGTTAAGAGCTGTGTGACCCACAACCAATGAGACGCAATGCACATTATGTTAACATGTTAGTGGTTAAAAGAAGGACCTTAAAACCTTTGTTTACTTTCACAATCAGTGAAAATCTGCACAAATACCATACCACTTCATTTATAGAGCACTTAAAACAGCGACAATGCCAACCAAAGTGCTGTAATACAAATACAAATAGGAAAATAGTTATTTATGATAGAACGTGCTCATGACAACACAAGCAGTAAAAATGGCATCTCACAACTAAGCAGCATCATAAAAAGCCAGCGCACCTCGTCACGTGCATCCCTTATTTCAATTAGTGGAAGCTGCAAGTACATGGTTTCAGGTGATGTTCTTTGTCTTTCATTAAAACCTTCACTAATAAACACACAGGGAGTATGATGTTGTTGTGGGAATCAGTTTTGTTAGGTGGCTCCTCAGATCGAAGAAGTCCTTTATTGCTCTCACTAATAAAGTTGACTTATTTTCTTATTCTTACCAAAAACATCTTGGAGTTTTTTTTTTATTTATTTTTTTTCAATCCAATTCAATTTAATTCAGTTCATTTATGTAGCGCCAAGTCACAACAGAAGTCGTCTCAGAGCACTGAACAGAAACATTCACATACATTATAAAAGACAATTAGTAAAAGTGGTCTATCTAAGGAAGCAGCAGACTGTGTTGAATCTTCACTTTGTCACAGTCTCCAATCCTGAGCAAGCGCAAAGGCAACAGTGGAAATGAAAAACTCTTTAAACAGGAAGAAACCTCCAGTAGAACCAGGATCAGGACGAGAAGCCATCTGCTTTGACCGGCTGGGTTTAAGAGGACAGGAAGGAGAAAGAGACAAACACAGAATGACACATCCAGATGTGCTTTCTACTGGAAGAAAGACAAAAAATCATGTTAAAGATATAATTAGTTACAAATACAAACATTTAGAGTAGAGCAAGTAAAGACAGCAGCAGAGTGAAGAAATGTGGTCAGTTTGTCATCCAGCAGTCTCAGTGTATAGCAGCGTAACTAAGGGATAACTCAGAAAACACAATAAACCCCTAACTAAAGGATTTACCATAAAGGAAAGATTTAAGCCTAGTCTTAATCCAAAGAGTTTTAAAAGTTTGTGCGTTTAATTTTCATCTATAAATCACTCCTTTGGTTTGCTGCCTTCATATACGTATCTTCTCCCACATGTCACGTCATCAGTGCAGTTACAGCGTGCACTCTCAGGCCTTCATTACTTGTAGCATTCCCTCAGAGCGGACTGAACTCTGCAAAAAAGTCCTTTTTTTATTCTGCTCCTGGAACACCTTGCAACAGGAACTGAAGCTGTCGACATTCATTTCTTTAGGGGATTTTAAACGTTTGATAAGGTCAATAGAAACCTCAAAGCAAATATGTTCTTGTTTCATATGGCACCTTGATCTATTGTTTTATAATACTATTTTTATTTTAAGTGCATTTTTACTGTAGCTTATCGTTTGTACTCTATATGTTGTCAGGCTAAAACAAGTCTCTCTTGTAAATGAGTCCTCGTGACTCACCTGGATAACTCAAGGTTGAGTGAATGAAAAAAGTAGGGGTCCAAACCAGTAGCCTCCCTCCACCTTGCTGACTTGGAGTTGTTTCCTTGATCTGCCTTTTTCAAAACTTGTGGCTCTTATTCAGTGGTGGTTGTGTTGCAGGAATGTTGGCACTGAAACCTGATTTGCTCTTTCACCAATTATCAATTTTAACTTAAAAAAAAAAAGCAAACAAACGTAGTAGCAATCAATCTTTCTAATCATTTTTGTTCACTCTAATTTGAGGCATTTCTCACTTAAGCCCTTCTTTAATTCTCTATTACATTTAACCAGAAACTCTTTAAATCCATGCTCATCCTAAAATGTAAATTTCACAGTTGAGAAACTTTCACAGATCAAATGTTGGAGCCAGAATACTGACAAACATACATCATTATGTGAAATGATGCACAATATATTATGATAGCATACTATATGAAATAAAACACAGTTATTAAAACTGAATTTTACTGCAGATTGACTTGTTAACTTAATTTTCTTAATTTTTTCCCTTCTTTTCTGTCAGAACACTCAGCCATATACAACATCGACGTATTAACATTTGGTGAAGAGGATGCAAGGGAATACCTCAGCTTCCAAGGTCAGCTCTTTCATATCGCATGTTCGAACCCAAATATATATATTTTTTTCCAACTACTCTGTTTTGTAAAGTATAAACCAGATGATTTAGACTAAATCCTGTAATATTCACACTTCTGTTTCTCGTTTTAGCGCTGTCATTGGACCAATTATCACAAGAGACAATGAGCCTATTGTTGCTTCAAGAAATGTGAACACTTTCAACTCTAAGTGTAAAAAGATGTAGAATACATACAGCACATCTTCCTTGAGGCTCCCAAACTTACCGAGGCTCCAAGCAGCCTGCGAGGAACTTCATCATAACCTTGTAATAAATCTATTTTCATCCGGTTTTTGTTTTTTTCTCCAACTTTGAGATGGAGCTCGGCTGTTTCTGCGTTTGGATTAATGTTTGGAGAGTGACTGACTAGTGAGACAGATGTGCTGCAAAATACCAAACAGGAGGAGGAGTGATCAAAGGACAAAGATGTGCAGAAGTTGACAGCCCTCAGGATTTTATTGTTTTGTTTGTTTGTCTCTTTTTATTATTGTCAAATGTAAAATTCTGCAAAAACTGTTCGTCTTTTCCAGTGTACATGAAAACTATTTGTGCTGTTGGTAAACCCTCTCATAGAAAACTCAACAAGGCCAAAGGTTGATGAGGTAAAATATTTGGTCTGAAGATGAAACGGATGCTTTGTGAACAAGACGTTTTATAAAGAAAAAAGAAAAGGAAAGAAAAAACAGCTTGTGTGTGTCGACACATTTTACATTTTGTCCGTAGGGTACTTGTCTGCCTTTGATTCCTGCTTTGTGAATCTAACTTGGTAACATCTAAGCTACCCTAGAACTAATGAATTCACCAGAAAAGTGAAATCAGTACGTTCTGTTCAATACTTGAAATGCCTTATTTATGTTCAGTCATTCACAGGATGATGCTGTACATATGAAGATGTTCAATGGTGTGTGCTGGATTCCATTAAAGTCATTGATCCTGGGAATTTGTCAGTCAGTGAAACATGAACTTATGCAGCCACAGAACGAACATTTTAACCCAGATGATCCTTATACTTAAGAATGGGACAATATTAATCTTTTTTTTTTTAGGTTTTAAAAAGAAACTGCAAAAAAGTTACTGTATCTGCGTATTTTGGGGTAAACTGTGATCAGTGGCAGGTATAATAAACTTTACACAAAATGAGGAAGTTTGTGTTTGGGTGATTATTTCTTTGTTGAAACAAAGATTTGAAGAAAAAAATCTTATACTGTTGAAAAGCCTGTTTATTTCCCCTGACATGGTGCCACGTTTGTTAGGAAAATGCATTTGTGGCTTGAGCAGCAGAGTGGATTACGTAGGTTTGGTTCCATGAAAAACTTGCCAGATTGTCTTCGAAAAGGACTAAGTGTTCAGTTATCCAGGTTTTTATGTTATTTACTCTTGTTAAATGTTGTGCATTGGATTGGAAGATCAAAATCTGAAGAAACGAGACATAATGGCATTTTAACACATTATTTATTTAATAAACAGGGGCCTTAGTAGCATGTGGAAGAACCATACACAGTCACAAAAGCCTGGCACCTCCATCTTATGCTGCTCACCAGCTTGGTCACACACTGTTGTGTGATGGCATGCCATTCTTCAACTTGCAATGGTCACAACTCAGCCAGGGTGGTTGAGTTGGTGACGCTTGAACAACACATCCACTCTGATCTCATAGTTCATTGGGGTTGAGGTCAGGACTCACAAATTCTGAAGGTAGTCTCCAATAAACCTGCTCTACTCAGAAAAGCATCGTCATTTTAATGGATAGTTATGTTTCAGACTGTAGAAAGGTGGAATCGCCACTGGTTACTCACGTGCTGACGGTCAGGCACTGAGCAGACACTTGATTACCAGCAGTCGGGGTACCAGCAGCTCAAAACAGAAGTCATTTGCAGACTAACCTGTTTGGCATTGACAGAGAAATGTTCATAGCCATGACCCACATACGCCACTGTGCTGCTCAACTAACAAATGCATTTTCCAAACACATGTGGCACCATTTAAGGTAAAATAAAAAGGCTTTCCAATAATGTAAGATATATTGCCAGGGAGCATTGCTACAACAAATAACTAATCAACCAAACCAAAACGTCCTTCTTTTTTGTGCTATGTTTAGGTAACTTTAAATAAACTCTCAGAATATGTTAAACATAATCATTCAAGTCTCATCAGACTTTGGGTGATTTTTTTTTTTGTCTTCAAGCATATTAATGCAAAAAAAAAAGAAAAGAAAAAGAAAAATTGGTTGACTATTTGCAGCCCTGCACAAAAATATAATTTTTGAAATATTTGAATGAATAGTATCATAAATAATATCAATATTATATCAATGATAAAATGTTGTGATTAAAAATTTATTCCTAAATCTAATGCATATATTATGACAATTCAGTTATGAAGGGGGGCCGAAGCCAGCCAACCTCTTTATCAGTCTGCCTAGCCTAGCAGTCACTGTGCAAGAGGCAGGGGACAACCTGGACAAGTTGCAAGTCCATCATATCAAACAAACGAGACAATCTTTCACACTCACATTTAGGGATAATTCAAATATATCAATTTTACCTTACATTCATGCTTTTTGTCAGTGGGAAGAAACCATAGTACCTGGAGAAAACCCAACCAAGCACATGCACTAAACAAAAAAACTGGGAGGCAAACCTGTGACCTTCTTGCTTTGAGGCAACAGCTCTAATAACTGAGCCACCATGCTGCCGGCAAAGCAAACTGACTATAAAAAAGTGTGGAACTGAATGAGGGTTACATGTTATAAAGCTGGTATATTATAGTAAAGTATGGTATACACTGGGGTTCCAACTGACTCCTCCCATCACCTTTTTGGTCAAAGCTGTCTCTGTGTTGAACCAACATTGTCATTATCACCGACACTGTACTTTTTGGTGGCAGGCAAAAAAAAAAAAAGATTGTGGATGATAAATTATATGAACAATTTGACAATTACTGTCATCATGTAGCAAGATGATGACATCATTTGATACATAATTGGTCTGATTATTTAAAAATGAGAAACTATCTTTCTTTCTTTCTTTCTTTCTTTCTTTCTTTCTTTCTTTCTTTCTTTCTTTCTTTCTTTCTTTCTTTCTTTTCTTTCAGATTTGAGTCTTTATGAAACTGCCAGGTATTATGCTGTAGACTAATGTACTTCTTACAGTTTCTGGTGTGAGTTCGGGTTGACATATCAGAGGCATTTGTTCTGTACTTTTCCCAAGAACACGCTGACATATTTGACTCAGTCCGATTAGTGCACGACCTGCACTACAATGTGAGCTGCAGCACAGTGGAGAGAAACAAAAAAACACACTTGTATAGAAGATTTACTAACTTTTAACACCAGATATTACTGTGATGTCAGACCAGAACTTCATCTCTGCTTAAGTTAAGCTGTTCTGCAGTCTTGATCGTACCGTTCCCCTTGCTTTTTACTTTTTGAAGAGATATTCTTATATATTTTTTTTATTTTCTTGACATTTGGACAAAGCTTCTGGCTTCTTCTTTTAGCTTTATGCTAAGCTAAGTTAACCTACCTTTTGCGCATGCTTCATGTTTAGCAGCCACAGCTATAATTAACACATCTTCTCATGTAACTGTGCAAACAGTGATGAAGCGTTTTGCCAAATTATTGCTTTTAGATATACAGCTAAAAAACTCAACTCTATCACATTGGTATCTTTAAGCCAGACACACATTCACTAATTGGATTCACTTTTCTTGCACAGGAGACTTTTGGACTTATTACACACACAGATGAATGTGTTACAGGACTCCTGTAAGTGCAGCACACAGTGGGATACTGACCGTTGCTTTCACAGCCGCAGACCGTTGGGAATTACTCCCAACGGAGCTTCTGTGCAGAGTATCATCCATCTGTGGGGGTGGGGGGATGAAAGTTTTTTTTTCTTTCCAAGCTTTTAATGTTCTACGGCTCATTCAGACTCTGCATCTTTTAAAGCTCTTGCTTGTCTGCCTGTTCAAACGCACCAGATCTTCTGTTTCCAAGACAAAACTCGGATCATTTTTATCTGCCTCTGAAACTAAAAATAATTTGCTCTTATCCAACTCTAACCTTGATGTGCCAGCAGCAACAATTTTAGGGCCAGAAACCAAAAGCTGCGTGAGGCTCTCTAACAACTCGTGTGAAATGACAGTTTTCTTTGTTGCAGAAGCATTAAAAGGCATGTCTAACATTAAATCTGGTAGCAACGGAAGAATGAACACTTTGTCCTTTTAACTGAGATAAAACACAATGTTATTTTGTTCTTCCTTAAGTTACTCAAGACCTTATTTGCTGTCTTGACATTGTCACTTTTTACATTAAGCTAGTATCTCACTGGGCTGCATGTGTTGGAGACTAGTTTGTGACAGAACTGTGAGAAAACTGACAAGTTTTCAGTAGTGTTTGTGAACAAGAGAAAAGCCAGCATGGCAGCTGTGTTTTGCATGGCCACTTAAAAAAAACAACAACTCATATTATGTCCATGCCTACTGTATTTTATGATGTACAAAGGGCTTAATTTGAGCTGGATCCTGCCAGAACAGGATCCGGGAGCTCTTATTTTGACAAGGTGCGTTCCGCTAACTGTTTGCTAGGATCCGGCTTGGATCCGATAACTCTCAGGCTTGCTAATAATAAAGTTACGAACAAATATGACTGCCTTGAACAAATAAAACTCATACTGGATATGTGAACCGAACATAATTGAATAAACACTCATTTTAAACTCAACAGCCACTTACGAGCATACCAGCTCCTCTTCAAGTAGCATTTCCGCCTCTACCCTTAAAAAATATCCACCCCTAAAAGAGTGGTGGGGGTGAGTACTGAGATAACCAGTCAGTTGTACGTGAGCAGGAATCCACAGGCAGCCACCATGAACAGATGGAGGAGGTGCCTTGAGGTTTCACATGTGGAGTCGGACAACAACAAGCAGGGACAGTGCCGGGTTCGGAATCATCAAGTAAGGGGGAGGGAGGTAGGATGCTTGACAGAAGAGGAGTTTTTACAAATGTAGGTAAACTACATGTTTAGCAACACGTTAAATTGGAGAAAATCACATCGACGTTATTCTAAATTTTCTGTGGTGAGACCTCAAAAACACCCCCCCCCCCCCCCCCCCCAGCACATCTGCTAGTTGTGTTCCAGCACC